AGGGGGCTTCGGGTACATGAGCTGCATTCGGAATGGGTACAGGCACCCAACCACCTTCCGACTTGAGGACTACGACCACGTCTTGGCATCCTAGGAGGGGAACAGGGGCTTTGTCACCACCAATTCCCCGCACCCCACCGTTACACTCACGTTAGTTTACCAAGGCATTCGCACATCGGAACATGGAGCACGTAGCTGCCGTGTCAGCCACGTACTGCATGACATCCTGGCCAAGTTCCTCAACCCCCACGAGACCAAGATCAACGATGCCACACTCGCCTGGGGGTTGTGCCACGGCACAGAATGCCTGTGGCGGAGTCGTCGTGGCTCTCGTAGCTCACGACTTGGGCCAGGACAGCCTCCGCCGTAGCGAATTTGTCCTCCTTGTGACCCCACCCTGCTCATTTCCCGCAACGCGGAATGAAGTCCTTCTCCTCGGTGGTGCAGTCAGCAATCTGGTGCCCGACGTGACCGCACCGGTAGCACCGGCCAGGGAACCTCGTGCCCCCGCCGCTGCCGCCGCCGCCTGCTCCTCCACTTCCATCTCCCTTGCTCTCCTCGACGCCGCCGCCGCCCCCGCCGTGACCGCCGCCGCGGCCACCGCTGCGACCGCCGCGGCCACCGTTGCGGCCGCCTCCATGACCTCGGCCGCCACGACCGCGGCCACGGCTAGACGACTGCCCCTTCCGGCGGCCGCCGTCGGCGATGTAGGCCCTTCCGGCGCCTCGTGCGCCGTTGCGTTTCTTTTGTTTCTCCAGGATCGCTTTGTACTCGATTGCGATCTCCCTCATCCCTTGCTCCTTGGTCAGCTTGTTCGTGCGTCGCAGGGCATGGTTCGTCATAGGGTACTCATCCGAAAGGGCGGACACAAAGCGGTGGAGAACAAATCCTTCGTTGATACCTAGCCCTTCTTGGTCAAGTCGGTTCACCAGTTGCTAGCATGTCGCGGAGAACAAGTTGTGGGTTCTTATTCGTGGGGACCATAAATGTCATGAACGCATCCACTCAACCGGTTGCATTGCTGATTCCGGGTCGCACATTCCTTTTAACTCCCGGATGGCCCCCTGGGGCGTCTCTGCCCTTTTCATCGTCTTTTTATCGTCCTCTTTGATGAGAGCGTGGTTCAGGAAATTCCACGCGTGAAACGCGAGCTCAACTTGCTCGGCTGGGTATTGTTGGCACAATGACGACTTGCTTCGTCCGCTATTCACGGGGATCTCCACTGTCCCCTCCTGAAGGTGGTCCAACAGGTTTGCTCCATTTGCTACCAGGCAGAAATCCTGAAGCCATGAAATAAAATTTTTTGCTTTCCCGTCAAATGGGGGTGAGGAGCACCTCACGCTCTGGTATCCTGCACTCCCGACAGGAATACCGAAGCCGCCGGCAAAGCCAGCAGCAGCACCACCTCCTATGGTGCTACTTAAACCACCTGGATTGTGAGCAGCGGCAACTCTCACCTCTTGAGGGACAAAGACCCCTGCTTCGCCGCTGTGTCGTCCTTCCGGACCAGAGTCTCCGAAACGTTCGCGCAGGTACGTGTCGTCCTGCGCGCTCCCAGTCTGCGATGCCCCTTCTTGGACTTGTGCAGATGCCGCGGCGAGTCTCTCTCTAGCGTCACCGCGGCCAGCGTCGCTCCGTCTAGTCGCTGGGCTCCTCCTCCTTCCGTGTTAGCTCGCCTACCAGTAGCATCAACTTGCTGATCTGCTCTGCGAGCGAGCCTACATCCGCTTTGAGGATCGTGAGCTCTGCCGAGCTCTGGTCTCCCTCCGACGGTCCGCCAGGGATATTTTCCCCGGCTACGCGGTCCGCCATTTCCTAATGGACTCCCTCGAGGGATGTACACAATAATAGTGTATTCGTACGTTGTATGGCCTTTACTTGGAAGGGGGAGATTTGTTTTATCTTTTGTATTGAGCACGCGAAAGGGGAGGAAGAATGAGGTCCCGATAAGCTTGAGAGAGCTCGAGAGGTTCCACCGCATACGTTCCACCTCATAGTAACCGTCATGGTATATCTATGCCCGTATCTGCGTGTTCCCGTTGTTGTCGGCAGATCTACCAGTCCGTATTCAAAACACACGAACAGTACGATCAAAATCTTGTTATTATATACAGTTTCGGACTGAGGCTCCAAAGATTTTGAGATAAGAAAGTTTCCTGGAAACTTTGTGCAGGTGAAATTTTCAGATTTAAGCGGCTTCATGTGATTGGCTGTGGGTCAACAGTCCTCCCACGAAATTCCCCTGTCCGCAGGTGCTGTTGTTTTTTCGTGGTGGGCTACGTCTCACCTAGCTGTGCACCTTACTTGATGCCGCTGCTGCTGTTGAGTGTGCGTGCGTGCGTGCGCGTGTCCGTGTCTGCGTCGCTCCCTCAACCCCAGCACACGAAATCGCACCACACCAGTACGGAGACAGGAAGAGATTACTGTACACTGGCCGGCGACAGCCTCTGAACGAAGTGTTATGTCGCGTTTTAAGCGTTCGGGAGAGCGACGGGGGGTTTGGGACCGGGAGGCACATCCGAGTCAAACGCTCTTCTTTCAAGTAGACGCNCTCAACCCCAGCACACGAAATCGCACCACACCAGTACGGAGACAGGAAGAGATTACTGTACACTGGCCGGCGACAGCCTCTGAACGAAGTGTTATGTCGCGTTTTAAGCGTTCGGGAGAGCGACGGGGGGTTTGGGACCGGGAGGCACATCCGAGTCAAACGCTCTTCTTTCAAGTAGACGCCAGAGAAAATACTCTTGCGCGCGGAAGGACGCGCCCGCCTTCACCAGGAGGCCACTATACGTGCTCTTCTTCCTCCTCTCTGCTCTTCTTCTTTGCTGGCGGCGTTGCCACCACCTACCTCTCTCTATGTAGTTTCGTGCGCTCTTCCTCCCCCTTGCCTCAATCTGACGGGCGTGTTGCTGACCTCAAGCCAGCCGGAAACAAACCCAACTTTCTGACCGTGCAGCCTCCCTGTTTTTGTGTTGATGGCGCGCCAACTCCAAGGCCTTTCGCTGGGCGCTGGCCTTCTCTTTGGCCGCGCTGAAATGTTCTCAGCAGACTGCTGTGTGTGCGTGCGGTCGTGCGTGTGATGTGTTAATTCGAAGAAAGTTGCTAAATCGAAAAATCGTGAAAAACTTTCCACAAACCAAGCCTCCCGCGTGTAAAGGATATGCACGCGCGGTGCTATCTGGGAGAAGACCCGTGAAGACGAACTCACTTGTTATTAACTCGTGTGGAACAGCAGTAGCTGTTGCCAAGGGAAGGTAGAGGACTGATTAGGATGGGGCCAGGATCAGCTGCTAAAGCAGGGGCTACTAGATCCTGTCCCCTGTGTTTGTCCTTCCGTGGGGAGTTGCATCTCCCGCACTTTTCTCTGGGCATTAGCCCGCACTACCGTTTGTACTTTCCTCCACATTCAAATTCCTTAACACTAGCCCACCCTGGAGGTTCTCATACGCAGATACAAAATCTCGGAACTTGACAATTACTTGTCAAATCCCAAATGAGAGTATCGAGGACGCGGAGCTCCAAAATACCACAATTTACCCTCCCACACCTCTCACTCGATGGGTCGCAAGACCATCGTTTGACCTTTAAAAAGACAGGTACAGGAAGTAATAAACTGGGGCTAACAGAGAGCAAACCAACGGAAGAGCCGCAACAGGCGAAGGCTACAAATACCATAACACTCGGCTCTTAAATCTGTAAATGTTTTCCTTGTTGTGGGTTCTGGCGAGACTGTCAGGAGCATTCCTCAGAACGACGGCTTAGCTCAAAATATGTTTCCTTATTCCGGAAAAAATTTGAGTCCGAAACTGTCAATAGTTTTTTTGCTTTTCCTAGTGATTTGGTGGCCCGTCTTGTTTCTGCGCATACAACAAGTATTTTTTTTCTCAACAAAACAAACCAATTTTCGATCTCGATGCTGCAATGGGCACCTGCTGCAAAGACTTCAACACGCCCCTTCGGCTGGGGCATTATCTCGAACGGATAGTCATGCAGTGTTGTGTGGATGTTGTATATATTCAAATCACTGCTGATGTTGTGATGTCGTCGTGGTACGAAGTAGCCTGGTTTCAGGGGATGTTTGGGCTGTGTCCCCGGGTTGCGGCGCCATTGGCATGTTTGTCTTTGAATGTTTGGTAGACGCGTTGCCGCGCACGAATTCAGAAGGGAATGTCTACCGGGGCAAGGAGCAGAAGGCGAGCTTGAGTGTCCGGTTACCAGTGCGTTGACAGAGTTCGAAGCGGTGGTTGGTTCCAGCAAGTGAGCGCAGGAGTTCGGTCGAGCAGCAGAGTGTTAATCGGCTTGAGTTGAGTCTAGCAGCGAGCAGAAGTAACGACATTAAAATTCCCTCTTCATCGAAGCATCATCATCATCCTCGGTGTTTTGAGTCTTCGATCTATCCTCCTCGGCGACAACCGTCCGAGACATGGGGCAACCTACTGAGAGGAACCTCGAACCTAGCACAAGAACCGTTAGTGCAGAGCCACATCGCTCTGCATTGGATTGGTTGATTGGGTAATCACCAGAACCCGTTATCCAAGTATCACATTGGCGTCGTCGGCAGTACGAAATATACCGATCGATTCTCTGAGAACCCGGTTGATCTAGGCTACTGTAGCACCATCCCTTTTCGAATTGAATTGAAGCCTGATACGCGCCCCATCTAACAGCGGGCATATCGCCGAAATCCCGCGATTAATGCCAAGCTTCAGGTTGAGATAGAACAACATATTCGCCTGATTGAGAGCGTAGCATCTGATTGAGAGCGAGATTGCGCGATACGCTGTAGCCGGACTACCACTGAGAGGTGGAGCTTGCTGTGTAGCTTGAATTGAAGGGCTAGCCCGTAGCTTCAAGCCGCTACCCTGGTCATCCTGTGGGAGTCTCTCGTTGTGGAGCTACAGCGGGGAGCAGAAGCTACAGCAGAGCCCACCGCCCGACGCGATACCGCCCTGAAACAGTTTGAGCAGAAATAGCCAATCTGGGCAAATCTAGCAACTTGTCTAGCTCCTCGCTGCAGCATCCGATGACGATGACACGCATATGCTCGCGAAGCTGCTGATGAGACCTTCAATTTGCACCGCTTCTTGGAATAGCCCGTCCCCTACTTGCCAAGAAATGGCAAGAGGCGTCTGGACCCGAAATTTCAATTTTTTTGGCTCTCGCTCTCAATCAGATACTTCGCTCTCAATCAGGCGAATATGTTGTTATAGGTAAAATGGTGTTTAGCGGGCATTTTGCGACGTTCCACCAGCGCGTTGGGCGTCCCTGGTGGTGTGTGTGATGAAAAAGCACAGGTCGGTGCGAGTGACGGCCAAATTGAAGCGACTGAATAGCGCAACAGTAGTCCCCTGTAGCGTTCTGCCCCACATTGCAGAATGCATCGACCAGCTGGGGGGTAGCTCCGTCTTCTCGGTGCTCGACTTGGTGAGCGGCTTCTACCAAGCCGCGATCCACGAGGATTCCATCCCCTTAACGGCCGTTGTGACGAGTACGGGGTTGTACGAATTCGTTCGAGTCCCCATGGGGGCGAGTGGTGCGCCCAACCACTTCCAGTTGTTGATGGCCAAGGTGTGTGAGGGTTTGGAGCGTGTGCAGTTGTATTTGCATGATATGGTGGTGCACTCAAAATCCGCGGCAGAGCATGTGGTGCATTGAGAAGTTGTTGGAACGGTTGCGCAATTATAATCTGAAACTCGCTCCCAAGAAAGCGGATGTGGGTGCCGCCGAAGTGAAGTTTTTGGGGCATTTGATCACCCCAACTGGCCTCGAGCCTGGGTGTCGTAAGGTTGCGGCGTTGGAAAAAATGCCGATGCCAGTGAATAAGAGCCAGCTGCGTCCCCTATTGGGCAGTTTTTTGTATCTCCGCAAATTTATCCCTAGCTTGGCCACTCGAGTGCGGGGTCTCAACGAGATGCTAAAAAAAGACATGGAATTTCGGTTTACGACTCAACACGAAGAAACCACTAGAACGGTTCTCAAAACGTTGATGAGCACGACAACTTTGGCGTTCCCTGACTATGAGGCCCATTTCAGTTTTCGTCCGATGCGTCTGTTCATGGTTTTGGGGGCGTTCTAGAACAGCAACAGAGTGATGGTACAAGGCATCCTCTCGTACACGTCAGTCGATCAACTCTTCCCAACGAACGCAAATGGGACACGACTGACCTAGAAATGGGGGCGTTGGTTTCGGCTGTCAATAAGCTCCGAGTGTATTTGTACGGTATTCCCTTCGTGGTGCATACAGACCACCAACCTTTGACTAGCTATCTGTCTTTGAGTGAGAAAAAGCCTCGAGTGCATCGAATGTGTGACTTCCTCAGCATCTATCAGTTTTCCTCAAAAAGGGAGCGATAATCAGGTCGCTGACATGCTTTCACGGTTGCTGCAAACTGCGACCGACAAGGATAGATCGGGCCCGAACCGCCTCAAAGAAGAGGGTGATCTTGAAGTGTACTTTGTGGGTGCTGCAAATTGCCTGACCCTTCCGTTGGACTTGCAGTTGCAGACCCACGAGGATTTTGGGTCGTTTATGGAGCCTGTAGATCCGTTGACCACTGATGAGGTCGCGCAGGACCAGTGGAATCTGGCTGGCCGATCTCGTCAACGCGGCGTCAGTACCGTCAGGTATCAGGCGCCGCGGGTCCTCGCTATGAACCGGTCTCCCGCCCCTAGTTCCGCTCCCGTTTTCCATCGCACTTTCAGTGGTCAGTTTCAATCAGGTGTTCTGCTGCACGCGTGCTCCGTATTTCCGGTACGCCGATGTTGCCGGTCTCCACCCGCTCCGCTGGGGTCGTGCCTCGGTCACCTCGTGTCCGAGCGGGCCGTCGTCCTTCCTGGAAGATTTGAGAACGGGAGGAGGAACCTGAACCCGCCGCTGCCACCGCTGTGCCTGCTGGCGGCGGTGCTTCGGTCGCACGACCGGCGCGTCGTGCCGCCGCCCGGGGTCCTACACCGCCGTCCCGGACGGGCTTCGCGGAGGACACACGGCTCCTAGCGGGACCGGTCGCCGTCACCAGCGCCAGAGACCGCCTCCTCCAGCCGACCCCGTGATGGCACAACCAGCTCCTCGCGGGGCAGGTCGTCGCGCCCGGCGTCCGGCCGTGCCGACGCCCACTACGGCTGTCACGGCACCTGAGGAGCCCCGTGATCGTCCACCTACGCCGCGCCGAGACTCAGGTTCGACACCTGAGGGGCCCCGAGTTCGTCCATCGAGAATGAGACGAGCCCCCGCCGCCCAGCGCCCAACCTATGCTACCGACGCGCGCGTCGAGTCGACTTGTCGATTCGGGGCGCGGTTGTGCGATAGGACCGACCTCGAGTGGGCCGCCGAGCAAGCGCGTGACCCCCTGGTGTCTTACGTCATCAAGACTCTTGTTGCTTTCCCGATATGGGCGATTGTATTGGGGATGAGGGTATCATCACTCTTAAAAGGATTCAGAAGTTGGCGGACAAGTGCACAATCGTGACTTTGCCTCGTCCCGGTAGGGGCCAAAGACGCCCACCACGCGCTGCTGACAAAGAAACTGTCCGAAGCCTTACACCTCGCGCCCAACGACACAGCGGTGGTAAATTCGAAAGACTTTTGGGGGATGAACCGGTCCGATTGTACGTTCCTTTTCTTCTGCGGCCGTGGGCGCTAAATGCGGTGCACACAGAAGTTTGTCATATAGGAGAGGACGTGACTTTGGCCTCCCTCGAGCGTTACTATTTTTGGATTGGCATGAGTGATAGCGTATGAATGTTCATTAAATACTGCATCGTGTGCCAAACCTAGAAAACGTCTCGCCGAAAATCTAGATGGCCGTTGATTTCGCTTCCCATACCCTCTCCGCCGGGGGAAATGGTGGCGTTTGATATTCTTGGCCCTCTGCGGCCGTCGAACTGTTTTGTAGGCATGCCGAACCCTACGCTCTCTCTGCCGACGAGAAAACGGCTAAAGGGTGTACCTCAAAGCTAGCCGACGACTATTGCACGCGTTGGGGATGTACGTTGTATTTGTTGTCAGATAGATGTGGCGAGTTTACGGCGGCTGTCGCGCGTGATGTGTACCGATTGCTTGGGGCCAAGAAACGGTTTACCAGCTCGTTCCACCCTCAAACCAAAGGGTGCGTCGAAAGGTTGAACCATACGGTCTGCCAGATGTTGTCTCACGTGATCGGCGCCTGTTTGTGTATGTACTCGGCAGGATACAGATCTCCGAGATATCCGAGGGGGTACGCATATATGATAGGTTTGGGTATATGCAGACGTGTGTGCAGCAGCAGGTCCTTCTTGCCTGCTGCTCATGCTTGTCACTCGTTAATAGTTAATCAAGGAACTTGAGTCACTCCTTTGTGCAACACGCTCTCGACAAGAGCCCGCGAGCGTGATAACATAGTACACGCGCCGACACCCCAAACACGATATCGTGTAGTCAGCTGACGTCGGTAGGGAAAGGTTCGGGAGGTAGGCACCGGAACACAAGGGCAGCAGCAGCGGGCGGTTTTTGCTCGCGCGCGCCAAGGAGATCCAGGGAACAGGGTTTGGAATACGAGGGCAGCAGCAGCAGGGCGGTTTTTGCCCGCGCGTGCCAAGGAGATCCAGGGTAAGAGTTTGGAATACAAGGGCAGCCGCGACAGGCGCGCCAAGGAGATCCAGGGACAGCATTTGGAATACAAGGGCAGCAGCGGTAAGCGTGCCAAGGAGATCCAGTTACGTGAACAAGAATAAGTCTAGCTACAAGACACAGCAGTAGGAGATACATCGTGCCGCATTTTTTTTTTGCGGCGTAATTAGGCGGAGGAAGAACATGTGGGAGAATTACTGGACGGAGATGGAATATGGGCATCTAAGGGAGAAGAACGATGCACCGGCAGGAGCAATGGCTGCCGGAAGAACGACTGCCGGGGCAGCTGGTGGAGCTGGGCTCGGTACACAACGGGTGAGCATGAAAAATGACGGAAATTGTGCTTTGAGCGGTTACAGCAGCAGTCGCAACCCGCCCAAAATCCCGACGAATTCGACGAAGGCCGTGAGCTGGCTTCGGAGAATGCGGAATTTCCTGGCTGTCGAGGATTTGGAGCGAACCCTTGACCACATGCCATCTACTGGTTATGTCAACGTTATCAGTTGTCTGGATCGCACATACCTGAACCAGACTCACGGTGCACATCTGGTGGCAGCTCACCAGCGGGCGTGGGGGTACATGTTGGAAGCAACCTGCGGCACGGACATTGAAGAACGGTTGGGTGCTTGCGACTGCGTCCCTGAGGCGTGGAGCGTGATCCACGAATGGCTGTTGCCTACTCTTGACGCTGAGAAGACGTTGCTTGTGAGGCGACTTGAGACGATTGAGATGCATCCCGGCGAGGACCCGAAACTCTTCTTCGCCAGGGTAGACGGAGTGATCAACATCATGAAAGCTGTCGGCATCGAAAAATCTGAGCGGGCTATCGTGCACATCATTGTCCGCCAGCTTGCACACGAGTACGATATCGAACGCAAGTCCATCCTGGCCGACCCCACCATTTCCCGAGCGAAGGTGGAAAACGTTGTTCGCGCGGCATACGCCAACAAGGTCATGATGAAGGAATTGGGCAAAGCGCAGGCGGCACCGGCGGCAGCGGTGACGGTTGGTGGGCTTGGGTCCGGTCATGGTGGCCACGGTCAGGGGGGACTACAACGGCGGTGGCGGCAACAGCGGGAGCAGCAGCAGTGGGTTCGTCCTCAGCCACCACCTGCACATTACCCACCTCCTAACTTCCCGACGTGGGGATCTGGGGGGCTCTATGACTGTGGGCGCAACGCTGTGTACCCGCAAGAGGAGTCAGCTTCGCCGCAGGGTGCTCTGATTGGTGTCGTTCATCAGTGCGTGAGATGCGGGAGGCATGGACACTCACTTGGCGACTGCAATGCGCCACGACGCTTTGAAGGCAACTGCACTGCCTGCGGTGAGTATGGCCATCGGCGCCGCATGTGTTGCACAATCGACCGCATGCAACAGCACGTGCCCGTCGGTGACGGAGAGGGTCTCAACGCGAATGGCAACGACGCTATGCCGCACCAGCAGCGGAAGCGACGACGCTGGAGGAGGCAAAGGCATCGACAGGAGGCGATGCTCCCCGTGTTTGCAGCTGGCGCGGTGGCATGGGGAACAGTACCTGCGGCAGGAGCGGCGACCGTTGATGGTGGTTTCCCCACTACGGTGGCGGGGGGAACGGTCGGGGGGCAGGCGCTCGCGGCGGGAGCAGCGGCATCGACGGCAGCACCGGCGGCGAGAGCGGCGACCCCCGGCAGCAGAATCTTCCCCGCGGCGGCGGCAGGGGAGACGGCCGGGGCGCAGGCACTCGCGGCGGGAGCAACGGCATGGACGGCAGCACCGGCGGCGAGAGCGGCGACCGCCGGCAGCAGAGTCTTGCCCGCGGCGGCGGTGTGGGAGCCGGTTGGGACGCAGGCAATTGCGGCTAAAGCGTCAGCAGCGCAAGAGCCGGAGGACGAGTGCGATGAGGATAGCTGTTGGTTGGGCCATGGCGACGAAGGTGACAACAGTAGCGACGGCAGCGGTGACGGCGGCATCGGGGCGTTGTCCGCCGGTGCAAGGCATCCCGGCGCCCATCCGACCGTGAGCAATGGCATCTACGTCGTGCGGGACGATGGGGGGTAATGCCAGGAAGGGAGGATCGATCGTGGCAGAAGTGTGCGGCATGAAGTGAGAGACTTGGTGATCGGGATCTCCAGAGGAGGAAGTAAGAGACTTCGTGATCGGGAGCTCCAGTGCGGGATGACCGATGGTTGCAACGACGCAGCTCTGGATCTACGCGCGGTTCAGGCACGTTTGTGAGAATTATTGTGTTTGGGTTATTTCTAGGTTTGGTTTTGTTTTGTTTGTCGAAAACCATGAGTTTGAGAACTGTGTCGACGTAGACTTAGAGTTGCGATGCGCATGGTTGGTTACATTGTGATTTTCATATGTTGGGCATTGAGTTTGGATAATCTAAGAATTCAGCACGCCGAATGGTTCAGTTGACATCGTTGGACCACTGCTGGCACTGCTGTCGAAAATCATGGGGGGGGATGAATGTGATTGTGATGCCATGATCCTCGTCGCAGTACAAGCAGCGTTCTAGCAGACGTTCGGGTTTGGTTTTTGTTCATTTTGTAAACGTTTTCCCCGTTTTACCTGCGGAAAATGAGGAGAATTTCTTGTTTGTTTCCGATTCCGCGTTTTACCTGCGGCTTTCGGAGATAAGTTCATGATATTTGTTTGTTTTCTCGTTGTTAGTATTCGAGAGTTGTGCCTTGCATGTATTGCTGTAGGACGGATTGAGTTCCATGGTCGGAGATATGTTGAAGGGGAGATGTCAATCGGTATATGTTTTGTATTCTGTTTCTTGCAATCCAGACGAAATACTGGATGGCTTGCATTTTCTGTTTCGGGAGTTATTGCAGCAGGAGGGCTGTTAAGTTTTTATGTTTTGGGAGATATTGTGGCCAGGGGCTGCTAAGAAATTGATGTTGTCTCTTTGTTTGAGAAACGGCTTAATTGGTGAAAGTTTCCTCTGGCGTTTAAATATGCGCCGGGTTTTTAACCTTTGTCTCTTTTGCCGTATTTGGTATTTTGGTTTTTCTGAATGATATATTGAAGGAAGGAATTGGCATATTTTGGTAAGACATGGTTGAGGCCTATGTGCTTCCGAAGCTTATTTGAGATTGGTCAATGAGCTGAAACATGGTTTTGTGCGAGGATCTTGTCCGAAGTAATAGTTGACACGCTTTTCCGGAGTTGTCCGTCCAAAGTCTTCATGACGTGACTCTGATGTAATGCTGATCTTTGCGGAGTATTTTTCTAAGGATGATTCTTGGTTTTTGGCTGCTTGAGAATTTGGTGACGACATTTTCTCGAGAGGGATGATTGTTAAGACTCTAGTGAAGTTCCAACATACATAGTGGATTAAGGAGGAATAGTAACTTGAAATTTGAATATTCAATAGATCGGGAAGTTGAGATGATTTGTGAATATGAAAGATGAATGGTTTTGGTTTTGTTGCCGTTTTACCTGGCGATATGTACGGAAGGTTCGTAGATCGTATCTCGTACCGAGTAGGGGGGCTGTTTGTGTATGTACTCGGCAGGATACAGATCTCCGAGATATCCGAGGGGGTACGCATATATGATAGGTTTGGGTATATGCAGACGTGTGTGCAGCAGCAGGTCCTTCTTGCCTGCTGCTCATGCTTGTCACTCGTTAATAGTTAATCAAGGAACTTGAGTCACTCCTTTGTGCAACACGCTCTCGACAAGAGCCCGCGAGCGTGATAACATAGTACACGCGCCGACACCCCAAACAGCGCCCAACAAACCGATTGGGACAACCATCTTTTGCAGTGTGTATACGCTCACAACAATCACGTGAGCAAAGCTACCGGTCTTGCGCCCATGGAAGTACATATTGGCCGGAATCGTCGTCGATGACGGTTCTTGGGTCGCAGAAGCTGGTTTCTGGTATGCAATCGAAAAGAGGGATGGTCTAGAATATCTCCAGCTCATGAAAGACCGGCAAGCGAAAGCCTACGAGCTAGTGGTTGAAAGAGACAGGCTCACGAAAGACAACACCGAGCACGCAACGAAGATCTACACAACCTCATTACGAAGCGGCCGGTTTCCACGCGGGCATTTGGGTGTGGTGCTACGATCCACAGCACACCCTCCGTACAGCGTATGACGAAAAACAGCTGTTGCCAACAGGATAAAAGCGAAACTCGCTAACCTATGGACAGGACCGTTTCAAGTGCTTGCTGTAGGACCCTGTCGCTTTAGCGATATGGAAGTTGGGTCCAAGTTACTGCTGTATCTGGATTTACCGAACGCACACAAGCCAAATCCAACCATGTCTCAGTGTTGCGGTGAAAGCGTTGCCATCGAGCGGACGAACCCGAGGGAATCCCCGACTTTTTTCCTTGGAAAAGTTGTTCGTACGTCCTGCATACATTTGCGGACATGGCACCTCCCTTCTACCACACCGCGGATGACGTGGAAGTAGAGCTTGACGTACAGCGTGCACAGCCGACCGCTATCACCGGTCACCGTATCAGTAGAGGTCCAGGGGGTCCCATCGCGGTACAACAATACGAACCACGTTGGCGCGGACACCGCCAGCCCACTTGGGAATCTGAAGCAAACATCCAGCAGTATGGTGATATTGTCGTAAAGTATTTGGTGGGCAGTGCAGCAGTGCGTCAAGTAGGAGCCGACAACAAAGTGCAGCGTGACTATAATAATCAGCTTGCCGCGCACCGCGCGCAAGCTCGGTCCCGTAATTCCCTTTATGTGCCACCAGGGTACGCGTTACTGGCAACGTGGGAGCGTGGGCCGGCCTTGCTGTCAGCGGAGGTGAAAGGAGCGCATGTTTACGTGCGGACGAAGCAGGAGGGCTGGCAGCTGGGGGTGGTACATCAGGTTTCGAGGGCGCGGAAGGAGGACCTGCCGTACCACGTCAAAGTCGTCGACCTCGAGCGGCGTTTCAACGTGTCGTTGTCACCCACGAAATACTGTACGGCGGTGGATGGTCCGCCAGGATCGTGGTGCTTTCTTGTGCACATGCGGTCCGGGAGCGTCCGGCGGAACGGGACTTGAGGGGTGCGTTGTGGTGGAGGTTTCGCCGTGGTGGTCGGGGTGCGCTGTGGTGGAGGTTTCGCCGTGGAGGTCGGGGTGCGCTGCAGAGGAGGTCTCGTCGTGGTGGTCGGGGTGCGCTGTGGAGGAGGTTGAGTCGTGGTGGTCGGGGAGCGCTATGGAGGAAGTCCTTTCGCGGTGGTCGGGGAGCGCCGGTGTTGATGATCGTCGTGGCGAAAGGGGCGATTCTCGTGGTGGTGGGAAGAGCGAGACGGCAAGTCGACGATTTTTCAGGGTGGAGGCGGAGAACACTTCGACGTCTCGCGGAATTTCTTTTCGCGACGGGAGGAGCGAGCGAGACGAACGACCTAGCCACCAGATTTATTTTTCTGTTTCGGCGTGATGTGTGTTCCGAGTTTTTTGGTCTTTGGTACTGCCTTCGGATGCCGATGATCTTTTTTTTCTGGTGTAGTGCGTCGGTTGTTGCTGTTTGGCTCTCGGGTCTTGGTAGCGACGTGCCGTTGTTAAGGAGGACCCGATTCGCAGGGTATCCGTCGATTGACTTTTACCTGAATCGGTACACCTTCGCACCGTCCTCTTTCGGGAGGATGGGGGGGAAAGGCACAGGCCATTCAATAATAGACCGTTGTTGTTGTTGTTGTTGACTTCACATTAAACCGTATGCCAGTTGCTAAATGCCAAAATCTAGCAAAGACTCTCGGCCCGTGGTCACNCAGGGTATCCGTCGATTGACTTTTACCTGAATCGGTACACCTTCGCACCGTCCTCTTTCGGGAGGATGGGGGGGAAAGGCACAGGCCATTCAATAATAGACCGTTGTTGTTGTTGTTGTTGACTTCACATTAAACCGTATGCCAGTTGCT